CATAAAAACGTCATAGTATAGTAAGGCATAAAACGTCAAATTATAGCAAGGCATAAAACGTCATAGTATAGTAAGTAAAAAAAGAAAATCATAGTATAGTAAGTCATAAAAATGTCAGTATAGTAAGTCCAAAAAAATTATAGTATAATAAAACATAAAAACATCATAGTATATTAAGGCATAAAACGTCATAGTATAGTAAGTCATAAAAAACGTCATAGTATAGTAAGGCATAAAAAGTCAAATTATAGAAAGACATAAAAACGTCATAGTATAGTAAGACATAAAACCAAATATTGTAAGTCAAAAAAAAAATAGTATAGTAAGGCATAAAAACATCAAATTATACCAAGGCATAAAACGTCATAGTATAGTAAGTCATAAAAAACGTCATAGTATAGTAAGGCATAAAAAGTCAAATTATAGAAAGACATAAAAACGTCATAGTATAGTAAGACATAAAACGTCATAGTATAATAAGTCATAAAAACGTCATAGTATAGTAAGGCATAAAAACGTCATAGTATAGTAAGGCATAAAAACATCAAATTATAGCAAGGCATAAAACGTCATAGTATAGTAAGTCAAAAAAAACATAGTATAGTAAGTCATAAAAATGTCATAGTATAGTAAGTCCAAAAAAATTATAGTATAATAAAACATAAAAACATCATAGTATATTAAGGCATAAAACGTCATAGTATAGTAAGTCATAAAAAACGTCATAGTATAGTAAGGCATAAAAAGTCAAATTATAGTAAGACATAAAACGTCATAGTATAATAAGTCATAAAAACGTCATAGTATAGTAAGGCATAAAAACGTCATAGTATAGTAAGGCATAAAAACATCAAATTATAGCAAGGCATAAAACGTCATAGTATGGTAAGTAAAAAAAGAAAATCATAGTATAGTAAGTCATAAAAATGTCATAGTATAGTAAGTCCAAAAAAATTATAGTATAATAAAACATAAAAACATCATAGTATATTAAGGCATAAAACGTCATAGTATAGTAAGTCATAAAAAACGTCATAGTATAGTAAGGCATAAAAAGTCAAATTATAGAAAGACATAAAAACGTCATAGTATAGTAAGGCATAAAACGTCATAGTATAGTAAGTCATAAAAAACGTCATAGTATAGTAAGGCATAAAAAGTCAAATTATAGAAAGACATAAAAACGTCATAGTATAGTAAGGCATAAAACGTCATAGTATAATAAGTCATAAAAAACGTCATAGTATAGTAAGGCATAAAAACATCAAATTATAGCAAGGCATAAAACGTCATAGTATAGTAAGTAAAAAAAGAAAATCATAGTATAGTAAGTCATAAAAATGTCATAGTATAGTAAGTCCAAAAAAATTATAGTATAATAAAACATAAAAACATCATAGTATATTAAGGCATAAAACGTCATAGTATAGTAAGTCATAAAAAACGTCATAGTATAGTAAGGCATAAAAAGTCAAATTATAGAAAGACATAAAAACGTCATAGTATAGTAAGACATAAAACGTCATAGTATAATAAGTCATAAAAACGTCATAGTATAGTAAGACGTAAAACGTCATAGTATAGTAAGTCATAAAAAACGTCATAGTATAGTAAGGCATAAAAAGTCAAATTATAGAAAGACATAAAAACGTCATAGTATAGTAAGACATAAAACGTCATAGTATAATAAGTCATAAAAACGTCATAGTATAGTAAGACGTAAAACGTCATAGTATAGTAAGTCATAAAAAACGTCATAGTATAGTAAGGCATAAAAAGTCAAATTATAGAAAGACATAAAAACGTCATAGTATAGTAAGGCATAAAACGTCATAGTATAGTAAGTCATAAAAAACGTCATAGTATAGTAAGGCATAAAAAGTCAAATTATAGAAAGACATAAAAACGTCATAGTATAGTAAGGCATAAAACGTCATAGTATAGTAAGTCATAAAAAACGTCATAGTATAGTAAGGCATAAAAAGTCAAATTATAGAAAGACATAAAAACGTCATAGTATAGTAAGGCATAAAACGTCATAGTATAATAAGTCATAAAAAACGTCATAGTATAGTAAGGCATAAAAACATCAAATTATAGCAAGGCATAAAACGTCATAGTATAGTAAGTAAAAAAAGAAAATCATAGTATAGTAAGTCATAAAAATGTCATAGTATAGTAAGTCCAAAAAAATTATAGTATAATAAAACATAAAAACATCATAGTATATTAAGGCATAAAACGTCATAGTATAGTAAGTCATAAAAAACGTCATAGTATAGTAAGGCATAAAAAGTCAAATTATAGAAAGACATAAAAACGTCATAGTATAGTAAGACATAAAACGTCATAGTATAATAAGTCATAAAAACGTCATAGTATAGTAAGACAAAAAAACGTCATAGTATAGTAAGGCATAAAAACATCAAATTATAGCAAGGCATAAAACGTCATAGTATAGTAAGTAAAAAAAGAAAATCATAGTATAGTAAGTCATAAAAATGTCATAGTATAGTAAGTCCAAAAAAATTATAGTATAATAAAACATAAAAACATCATAGTATATTAAGGCATAAAACGTCATAGTATAGTAAGTCATAAAAAACGTCATAGTATAGTAAGGCATAAAAAGTCAAATTATAGAAAGACATAAAAACGTCATAGTATAGTAAGGCATAAAACGTCATAGTATAATAAGTCATAAAAAACGTCATAGTATAGTAAGGCATAAAAACATCAAATTATAGCAAGGCATAAAACGTCATAGTATAGTAAGTAAAAAAAGAAAATCATAGTATAGTAAGTCATAAAA